CTGGGTGAACAAGCAAAATGAAAAGCCAAAATCTGGACAGAAAATCAAATATATGAATGTCAAAAAACAAACGAATAAGGTTCATTACTAGTCTGCCATATTCTGCAGCCACAGATGAAAATCAAATTCGAACAAGATAGCAAAAGCTACTCCCAACTCCAATTACTTGATATATAGCATCTACATCCAAATTAAATAAAATAGCACAGTTTTTAAAACTAGTAAACTAGCTAACGTGTTCCAACGTAATAATTATATATGGGCAGCTGGAGTAGCTGCTATATTAGCTCCTTTTATGGTGCTAAACAAAAGTGAACTTGAGAGGCATCGAGTCAAAACAGTAATCCTACTATGCACAATTCTCCTGTCTTATGTCTAGCATAAACCTTACGCAAACTTTTCAAGTATGTACATAAACAATCAGTCTTGGTAAAATCTCAAGTATAACCATGGTAATCGGCAGTTCTGCCCAATACTCTTCTGATATCACATTTCTGATCTGAACTAAGCCTTGACGGGAATTTAACCTCAAACTTGATCCTCAAATTTCCTTTCTTTCCAGGTTCTTTCGATATTGGCATTCCTTCATTTGGGATTTTCTGCTCATGTCCTGGTTTAACAACATCCGTGATTGGTATAGTGAGTTCCCTTCCATCCAAAGCAGTCAGGTTGATAGTTTTCCCAGCGAGAGCATCTACTAATGAGATTTTTTGATTGATCACTAGATCATTCCCATCTCTCTTGAAAACGTCATGTGGCTTTTCATCTATTACAAAAATAAGATCACCAGGTGCAGCTCCAGACTCATGATTCCCTTTCTCTGGAAAAGTAATTTTTGTGCCTTTCTTCCAACCAGGTTTAATGTGTATTGCCAAGACCTCTTCAATAGTTGTGGGCTTACTGCAAATATAGTTCACACATGGAAGATAAAAATGATGAGACTAAGAACTAGTATTAGAACCATTAAGTGCAAACTAATTAGTCGTAACTTCTATATTAAATACATGCAACGGTAGAATCACATGTTCACAGTATTTTACTGTTAAGTCATTTCTGTGTTACCCCCTCACCTCCAAAAAGGCAATACTGCTTTAGTAGCCAGGATTTTTGTCCTCCCATCAGCTGTACTTTTTGTCAGAAACTATATCATCAATGCAACCAGGAAAGGAACATGCAGTATGACTAATCTACCTCCCTAGACCCTACTGATCATAACTAAGCAATGTTAAAAAACTTATATTCTGTAGGAAAAGTAGTTTTGATTTCTTCATTATTATTTCTTGCTTGTAACTAAATGAAATCAAATTATTCCTATAAGTTTACTCACGGCAATCGTTTAAGCAGATGAAAGAAAAAACGCATATCAATGGATCCAATAGATATTGATTTTTGCAATTGCAGATAAACAAACCAACCTTTCGTCATTAATCTTCGGAGGCGAATTACATATTCATATCTACAATAAAAGAATTAGTGAGACTCCCTTTCTCTTGATATCCCCAATCTTATTGAATTTTGGAAGTCAACTCATTTCACGGGCCTGGTGAAATGCAAAACTACGACGAGGAATTCACATGGATTTAGGAAAGGCCTGCTGTGTTTGTGTACAAGCTAAAGTTTTTTGAAAAATGAATATCTTTGGTCACTTTCATTGTCAAATAGGCTTTTCCTTCGTGTACCTTACTTACCTCGACCTAGCGAAGCACAACAAAAAAGGTAGTCTTCTTTTTCTGTATTCAACCAAGAAAAACCCCTCCACCTAGATTCGAATCCTAATACTATTATTAAATATTAGTTCAATAATAAGGAATATACCAACACAAGATCTTCTAAATCTTGAGATGGCAATTCCTATACATTCTCTTCTATTTGATTACGTGTTCTATTCTAAATCACTAAGAAAAAAATGAAAATAAAGGCCTCCTGATTCTATTTATAGAAATAAATAGAAATCTTTAAAGAATTTATAATTAAAGAAGAAATCAAATAAGTTAAAGAAGAAATCAGATAAGTAATTAATTTAGAATTCCCCGTCTTTAGAGAGAAAAACAAGAGAAACAAGAGAATTTGTCGAAGAGTAATATATTGTTAGAAGGTTCTACTAACTAAATAAAATGAAAATAAGTATAATGGAAATAAAATCGGATTCCAGTCGATGAATCTTGCAATGAGATATGCCCTACAATAAACCAATAAACAAAGCAAACTAGTCGGTTCGACCAAAATGAATTCTTGTTTTGACTAAATAGTTATGGATGACTTGACAATTCCAATTCGAATCGACCAATTGAATCCAGTATATTTTCCACGTTCATAGGAGTGCGTTTATGTTTCTGCTCTACGAATATGATTTTTTTTGGGCATTTCTAATAATATCCATCCTTGTTCCTATTTTGGCATTTTTCATTTCCGGAGTGTTAGCCCCGATTAGCAAAGGGCCAGAGAAACTTTCTACTTATGAGTCGGGTATAGAACCAATGGGCGATGCTTGGTTACAATTTCGAATCCGTTATTATATGTTTGCTCTAGTTTTTTTTGTTTTTGATGTTGAAACGGTTTTTCTTTATCCACGGGCAATGAGTTTCGACGTATTGGGTGTATCTGTATTTATAGAAGCTTTCATTTTCGTGCTTATCTTAATTTTCGTTTAGTGCTAATAGAGGATAGAAGCAGATGCTCCTTAACAGTAAAAATATGCACTTCCTCAAAACAAAAGAGTATTGTTGCATAGGAAGATTTAAGTAATAATAGATGATAGAAGCGTGCGTGTTTTGTAACAGTAACAATATGTAATTCCTCAAAGCAAAAGAGTAGTCTTGCATCTGAATTATTAAGTCTAACTAACTGGATGTAAAAATATAGGGAAAAACACTACCTCAGACAATATTCAGATCGATAAGCAACAAAGATGTTGTATTATTTTAAAACAAATCATTCTACAATCCGCAAACTCACAAAAATTTCAATTTTACAACAACATACATAGTGTAATCCCACAAGTGGGGTCTGGGGAGGGTGGTGTTCATGCAACCTAACCTCAAATTCCATCATTTTCAAAATGAAAGCTTCAAAGAACATATTATCATTTTCCTCGTTGAGCTTGAAGAGATATCTAAAAGGTTTTCTCCCGAAACCAAGTGTACTATTCTCTGTTATAACTAAAAAGTAACTCCTAGAAGTTATGTCCAATAAGTCTCTCACTGTTGGAAATTGGGTTATAAATAAGCGATCAATCTCCCACCAGTCCACACAAAGGAATTAGACTAACATCCAGAGTTATCACTCATTTTATCAAGAAGCAGATGGTAAGAGCATATTAAGGACAACTTAGTTGTCACAAAAGTTAGCAAAGGGTTGATGAAAAAAGTTGATTTTAAATGGTCAAAAAGCAAAAAACTCGTTCGGCTTAGTTCCAACTGTAACATCACATCTACACATTCAAAACAGTATCATCAACTCTGGAATTTGATATCATGTTTCTTCTCTGTAATTTCATACTACACAAACCACTTATATTCGTGCATCGTTGCTATCCCAACTAATACACATAATTTTAAGTTAAATGTACTTTTACCAATGATAATCAAAGAAGAATTTTCCCTCGAGTCACCAATATCATTCACTCATTCTATATAATTCATGCATAACCCCCATATGATGAACAGTTCTGATTCATTACTGTGGGATAATCTCAAAGGCACAGTTTCAAGTGGTTGAGAGATGGGAGTAGCTTCCTAAGGATCCAGATTCATATGAAAACTATAACCAACCTTGATGGACATGATTTACTAGGCAATGTTCTGTCAAATTCACCACACAAAAGATCAAATCACTACTATCAACTCGAATTATCCCCGTCAATAGGCCAGATGTAATTCATTCCGCAAAGTAATGTAAATTTCTTATTGAGAAAACTAGATAACAGATTCTAATAGCAAATATGGATAGAGGATGTTATTCAGAAATATTAGCTGGTGTTTGTATAATGTAAGGTATTTACTTACCCAGCGCCATCAAGAACAATCCTTGAAATCTTCATTTTCCTCTTAGAGCCCTTGTATAACTCCTCCAAGGTACACGGCAACTTGTTCTCCACCGGCGCAGCTTTCCTAATCCGTACAGTACCACCAGTACTCCTACTATACCCATCCGATCCACCAAAAAATTCCGCGAAAATATCTTCCGCATCACGCGAATTGAACTTAAATCCTCTTCTATCACTAGGTGAGGATGGATCGAATTGACCAGATTTCAGTGCCTCATCACCGTATATATCATAGATCTGACGCTTCTGAGGATCACTCAGCACATCATAAGCCTCAGATATCTGCTTGAATTTCGCTTCAGCTTCCTTCTTATTCTCACTATTCTTATCCGGATGCCATTTCATGGCCAATCTCTTATACGATTTCTTCAAATCTTCTTCACTTGCATTACGTGACACTTTCAGTGTCTTATAGTAATCAACACTCATATCTTCTTCTCTTCTCTTTCACTGTGCTTTTTTTCTCTGTATCGTTGATGAAACCGAAGCAGGAATATATGTGTTTGTATATATATATTATAAAAATAAATAACAGACTGTTCTCGAGAAATTTCTGGAAAGTTTGTTAAATCTGGAGAAAAGGAAGTCGTTGACCCGTACTCGACGGGGAAAACTCCGGTGAGTTGGCCGGTCGTCTAGGCGAATCAATGCGTATGGTAGAGAAATTGGCGGATGTTGTGCTAAGATACGCACAATGAGAGATTTTTATATAGAGTTTTTGTATAAAATGACGGGGCTGTGATGACAACTGTACATGCCACGTAGGATTTTTAACGGTGACGGAGGAATATAAGTTAGTGGGAGGTGAGTGAGAACGTGCTGTGCGCGTAAAAAATGGGCCGACAGAGTATCTTCTGTTGGAAGTCTGTGCGCTTAACAGAATCTGTTTTCGCGATTTGGCAACTAGGCGGCTGTATATAATAATTTATCGAATTTTTTACCTTTAATTTTAAGATTATATGGATCGAACTTGAAGAAGAGTTAAAAAAAAATCAAAAAAGTTAAGATTCATCTAATAATAATAAATTAGGTGAGACTGATTTATTCTTAATTCGAGATAGCGGGTGGAAAACAAAAAATATATATAGTAATAATATAAAATGTGTATCCCTTTTTGCAAGAACAATATAGTGGTAAGGAATTGTTTTCAAAGTTTAGCTTGTTAGGTGAAATGAGGTCTAGTTTATTGATGTCTGTAGTTACTAGTGTTATTACTCCAGCCATAAAAAGCAAATCTTGTTGTTTCATGAGTTTATTGCATTATCCACCATTGATGACTGCTAGCTACCGTTGTTTTCGTGCCCGAAGTAGGCTTTCGTGCTGTAATAGTCACGCTGATGATGATATGCGTGCCCTCTTTCAGGTACTTTTCCTCTTTAAGTTTTCTGTTTTTTTGTGTGTTCTGGTCATTTGCATATACATTTTAGGGATTTACAAGTAGTAGAAGGAAATGAGCTGGTATAGTCCAAATAGAGCGGAATGGATGTAGAGGATTTTCATGTAGCTTACCTGAAATACTTAGGGATTGAGGTATAATTAGTAAGTTCATTGTGTCTAAAGTTCTAAAGTTCCAATCTTTTACCCCTTTTTAGGATTGGTAGTGGAGGGAACAAGTTTCAAGTTGTAGTTCAGGATATTTGACACTCACATTTGGGTGTATATAATGTGAAACTTGTTAGAACTTAGAAGTTAGGGTTAGGATGTGTATTGAAAATGTGCTTATGTAAAGATCCTAGAAATAGAGGAACAAAGGGAAAAAAGACGATGTTTTTTACATGTCAGCTTGATTTTGAAGTTTAAGGGGAAGTTGAGGGAGAAATCATTCATTTAATTGATGCAAGTTAGCTTCTTGATAAGCTATTTTAGATGGTCATATCTTGATAACCATAAAGGCTTACCAACTAAGTTTGGATTGAGATTTAGTGTTATTGGGTATACTTAAAGAATTTGATGTTAGTGTAGGAATAAGTGGGACATTTAGAGAACTCCCAATTTGAAGAACCCCTAATTTGTACCTAAAGATGAATTAATTTGAATGAAGTTGGCCCAAATGGAGCGGAATGGATAGTAATGATTTGTGTAGCCAACTCCTACTAGTTTATCAAGGTGTAGCAGAAGTGGTGGTTGTACTGGCACTACTTGTTGCAGGGCTTGTCGTGACACTGAAACTTGGAAAAGCGGTGGAGTAGCTAAGATTTCTATATTTCCTATGAAGTTTGTAGCACTGGTTCCCTGGGAAAATCTGAGGAAGTGAACTTTTCTTATATCAAACACAAGTCTACAAGACAGTTAATAATGGGAAATTAGGAATAATAAATAAACATGGTATAGTGTGTGCCAAAAATGGGAGAATGGAACAGAAGAGGAGGTACGGAAGCTCAAAAAATTAGAAGGAGATGTCCCAGGCGGCATATGGTGGACTATCTGGAGGGAAAGGAATTTAAGACGTTTTGAAGGAAAAAACAGCCGAATCCAGAAGATAAAGCTTGATTGCATTCTGCTTTTGGATATTTGGTGTAAACAGGAGTACATAAATGACTCTGAGATCATATTACAATTCCTGGAGTCTGTATAGTTATAGTAGAATTTTTGTGTAGATTTTTAGCTTTCTTTCCTTGTAACTATGGCCTCCACAGGCTCTTTTGATATCAATATAAATCTGTTACAATCTCAAAAAAAGAAGAAGGGAGAGTGGAGATAAAACGAGGTAACTGCTTGTTCCAGGAGTGTTGCACAAGAACCATTTTACCTCCCTTAATTATCAGTATAGACTATGGCTTTTTGTTTGTATTTCATTCTTGAGGGCTATGTACATTACATTTGCAAGTTTGTGTTTTACATTTCTTTGTAATCTATGCCCAAACAAAAGGTAAGGATAGCTGGGGTTGGAGGTTCATTTAGAATTGTGATTTTGATTTCTTGCATCAGCTGAATTATTGAAATATTTTCTTTATGTAATTGAAGATCATGCTTTAAAATGAACTTAAAATGATTTATTTTTCTTTTCTTCTTTTTGCAGATTCTGCCATGTGACTTACGGGACACCCTTTTGTGTGACCCCAGCCAAGATCAACTAGTAGAGGTATCTATATCTAACAATGTGAACACTTCCTTTGACAAAGGGATGTAGTATGTGTTTTTTCACCAGATTTCTCATCGATTTTTTTAGCTTCACTCTCTGTATCTCGTAAATAGCAATATGTGATGTTTGCCTTAAATCTTACTGTCAGCTAATAAAATGTTCTTGATTTGCTAACGTTATAGTTTACCATCTTAAATTTGCCTACAAAAAGCGGTATCCTTTGTTTTGCTAATATTCTGGTGTCAAAGAGGTCTCTTGCTGGAAAAAGTATGATATGTGTTCTGGAAATTGTCATTTTATGAATCTGACTAAATTTATCTGCTTACCACAAACATGTTTCAGCTGATATGCCTTTCACGAGATGACAGGATGAGTTTCATATTATCACACGGTTACCAGTAATGTTTATATGGCTTGATAATTATTTGAGATCCGTGTTATTCTCATAGGTTACCAGTATTCAGTAATGCTTATGCATGATAATAACTATGCTGTGTGTATTATTATGCTATGATATTACTATACTGACCAAAAAGATTGTATGATATTTTTGTAGGTGATTTTAGATTTAGGCTGTTTGCCACAAGCACATTACATAAATGATTCTGGGAGGCGTTACCTTCGAGATACTGAGGTAAACACTAAAGGTATTGAAATTACCTACTTTATGAAAATATTGAAGTATATACTGTCACGATAATGACTAGTGTTGTTGCTTAGAAGCACCAGAAGCTTATTGTAGTTTACTAGGAAGTGAATTAGAGAAAAGGGAAGAAATTTGTGGTTTTGAAGGAATATAAAGAGCAAAAACTGGACACCAGAAGATTATTTGAAGAGCTTAATTATATCTGCTTCTTCTTTTTTTGAAATGTGAAGTTATATCTGTTTCTTTTGTTAAGCAGGTCTCTATGGAAGAAATACAATGTGTCCTCAAGGAAATTGGACAATTTGGAGGAGATAACAGAGCTGGCATTGAGGGTACTTTGCATCGCATTTCCGCAATTAGGAATAGGAAGGGTGAAGTCATTGGTTTGACTTGCCGAGTTGGCAGGGCCAGAGGACAGATTGACATGGTGCGGGACTTGCTTGATTTTGGTGAAAGCATCTTGTTTGTTGGACGGTAAGTGAGTTACATATAGATGTAAATCATATCTGACCCGCCTGCGGTGGCCTCAATTTTTTCTAATGTGTTCTACTAAGCTGATAACCATCAAGCTTTATCACAATTGACTATACCTTGCTATCCTGCCAAGTTATTCTGTCTCTTTTTGATTTGTCTCTCTTTAATTTAACAGACCTGGTGTTGGTAAAACTACGGTTGTGCGAGAGATATCTCGTGTCTTGTCAGATGAACTTCATAAAAGAGTGGTTTGTTAACTCTTCTACTTACTTCTCAAATCTTATTTCTTTATTTCATTTTATGCTGCTAATGAAAGAAGTTTTCACAGCTTAGGGATCATTGTGGTAGGTTATTGTTGACACAAGCAATGAAATAGGAGGTGATGGGGATATCCCACACCCAGCAATAGGAGGGGCAAGAAGATTGCAGGTTCTAGACCCATCGATGCAGCATCAGGTTATGATTGAGGCAGTGGAGAACCACATGCCTGAGGTGATCATTATAGATGAGATTAGCACTGAATCTGAAGTTCATGCTTGTCGTACAATTGCTGAGAGAGGCGTTATGCTTATTGGTACAGCTCATGGCGAACAGCTAGAGAATATAATTAAGAATCCAACTCTGTCTGATCTGGTATGTTTGGAACACCTAATGATTTCCTTAATGAGAAACCCCTCTTTTTTCTATCTGTCCAGCACAATAATTCATTTCTGCATCATTTGAATATATCTTTAAAGCATCTTTTCATACCTGCTTTTTGGTTGATAATTGTGAGCAAACATTACTTTGCATTCAGATTCAGTATTAGACTTTTCCATTTCAACTGCTAGCACTTGTGTGTGTGCTTTTTTTTCTTTTGATTAATGAAGGTGGAGTATTCCATAGACAAGGCACAAAGGGGGTGTCAGTCACTCATCAAGGATAACAGAAAAATAAACATAAACTTAAAGATGATAAATGACGAACTACTTAGCCACCAATTAAAAGGGTCCCCCGAAAATAGCATATTCAAATTGTAAGAAAGCATATAGACGCTACATTTGCAGAATTTGCACCCCGCTAATTTCTACTTGTTGGGATAGTGCTCACTGCATGAAAGATAAAATGTCAAAGAAAACCAATCTAAGAATCTAGGAATAGTCATTCCTCTGCCTGGCTGCTCTCCGTTGAGTTCCAGCCACAAGCACCGGAAAGACACTGGGTATATCTCTTCTTGTTTGCCTTGGTATCTTTTATATATTCAGTTTTCTTCACATTATTAGTCGTCATTATTAGGCGATAATGCTTCCTTTCTGATCTCTTATATTGTCAAATTTTACAGATTGGAGGAGTAGTAATTGTGACTCTAAGTGATCAGGAGGCACGAATCAGGAACAGCAGTAAAAGTGTTCTTGAGAGGAAAGCTCCAGCGCCCTTTCCTTTTTTGATTGAAATAAACGAGAGAGACTACTGGATTGTACACCGGGTTAGTCACCACTTTGACGCAATAGTGTAATATAGAATATATCACATGCTAGACAGCAATGTCTCCATATTGACATGTTGGCACATATTCCCCTCCACCTTTGATCCCCTTGTTTGTTCTTTTTTCAAAGTAGCTTATTGTCAATGAGTAATATAGGTCCTTGCATTGCAAGGAGTGAAAGGATATCTTTGAGTTAAAAGCTATAACTTTATCCTTTGTAATCTCTCTGCCAGCTATGTGAGTTCTAATAGCTCTTTTTCATTTTGGAGAACAACATGCAGACTGAAAGAAGTGTCGATGCTCTACTTCGGGGTAAAAAACCACTAGTTGAGGTACAAAAGATATGTTCTTGCTATTTATGATCTTCTATATAGCTTCCATTCAATCTTTACCACAAAAAAGAAGTATTAGTTTCCGATATGTGCAATTCTCTTGTGGTGGAGGTTCTCTGCATTTTTAACTGTCAAACAAACAGACAAAAAGAACTACCATACACTGAACCTAATATAAGTGTACCAACATGTCTAAGCTTTGACCGGGGTTAGTTGCTATTGCCTGTATGAAATTTCTACTTTCATTGTAATGAGTTCTACTTTTTGGTAAGTCCATGTGGATCTCAATAGATGGTAAGTCATTTGACACACTCCTCTGATGTGATTTTAGGTCTACCTCGTCTTGCACATTTATTACAAGTTATATAATTTTGTTTCCTTTCAGATAACCTTCAAGTTAAACATTGTGGAGGAGAATATAAAATATTCCTTTGCTTTAGAGGATAAGAAACTTGTAATCTATTTCTTTTTGATAGGTTAATCTAATTATTATTATTATGATGATGATGATAAAGTCCTTTAATCTAAATATCATGCAATTCAATTCCCGATGACAGAAAACTATACAGCGATTTGGACCATGTCCAACTTAATTTTTGCAAATATTTGTCTTTCTGAATGGTAAACCTTGGCAACTTTTCTTCCAAAATGTGCCATAAGGCTATTTCTTTAGTAGCTCTCCTATAGATAATGTTCAGAACGGAGTTCTATGAAATGTATAATCTGATTCAGTACTATTGTGTCTTGAGTTGAGTTGCATCCATATGTATAGACTAAAGAAAGACTATTTTTCAATGGGATTTAGGAGATGCGACAAGGTCATGCATTTGATAATTAGCAAAAATTATATTAGGATGCTGTCAAAAGTGTACAAGAACAGAACAATTTGGTGCAGATCCAATTACTCTAACAATTTAACTCCACTTAGATGAATGAAACATCAACACCACTTTGAATGATTTCATTCTTTTCCAGTTTTTGGGGATTGCAAGTGGCACCATTATAGGGAGGTAAAGAAGGCAACTTCTAAGTCTTCAACAAAAAAGTTGTTGCCTTTTCACTACATAAATGACTAAAATGAAGTATGTAATATGATGCCATGATTTTAGCTATGGTTTTTAACTTTCAAAAGCATCAGTTGTGAAAGATCATGTGAGTTAACTTGTGTTAGGATTATATAGTTGCATGTTTTTCTTTTGAGTGCAGCTGAATGCACTCCTTATTGGTGGTGGCAGCGTACTAAAAATCTTTGTTTTACAGGTTAGGAGGAGAACTCCGCAATTACAGGTTGTGATTGAGAGATGGAGAACAAAAGCCTAAATACAATTAACTTCTGCTACTGCTCTACTGGTAAACATATTGATCATACATACGCCAACATTTCTTTCTCTTTTATTGGTTCAACGTTTCTTTCTGTTGCGTGAATAGAGAGAAAATATCCAATGCTTCCCTCTTTCTTCTAGCTACCCTCGAGTCTTGATACAGAATCCTATTCTTGACTACTGTGATCTTGAGTTGGTTTACTTGCCATAAACTTAACTGAGATTTCAGCTTATAGGATCTATCACATCATATATCATATATATTACTATAAGTGGGAACAAAAAAAATTAGAAGTTGAACTACGATTTTACCTTTACTATAAATTAAAGAAATATTAGACAAAAGTTAAATTACCGTTTTACCCCTACATTAAATTAAAATGTTATATATTATTAATAAATTAAATATTAAATAATAACTATATCTTATTGTTCTATCCGTTTTTGGCTTTTGATTTTTTTCCTAATCTAAATTAATCTCCCATTACCTATAGATGTTCACTTAATAATAATTACTCTCCCTTACTTATAGATGTTCACTTATATTATTAATTAAAGAGGGTGAATGAAGAGTTGCACGGTTTTAATTATGACTTTATGAGAGAAATGTTCACTTATTGCTCCAACAATAATAATGATTAATAAAAAGAATGAAAAGTTGGAGTAATTTAGTGTCAAAGTCAATATTATATTTTTGTAGCAAAAAGGTCTCCCGATGGTTATATAGCTAAAATGCATGGAAGTTGAACAAATTTTTCATTTCACTCTAAATACATTAGTGGATCAATACTCACTTTCATTATGTTCTTTTATTTTTTTACAGGAGAAAAATGTATGTGTACATTTGAAAACTTCATATGGAGCTTGCAATGTGATGGAAATGGATGTTGAAAATCTTTGCGGAGGTTGAAATTCATCTTTTCACAAAGTTGGCCTTCTAACAAGCATAGTAAGTACTACGTTTTCACTGATTTTCATACTTTGGGTAAGTGAGATGAAAACTCTCTTCTTCCTTTCTTTGTCATTTCACTTAATTTTGTTATATAAGTTGATCATCTACATTTATCTTTCTGTCATTAAATTATTTATTTCGTTTACTTTGTAAAAACTTAGTTTTTCATGTTTCATATCATACCTAGCTAGCTACAATCTTTGACAAAAAAAAATATTTAGATAATTCAGATCTAAGTATTATGTTGATTACCTAATTTTTAAGTGCATTCACCTAAGTACCATCTCAAAGTGTACAAAAAAAAAACATCCACGTTAGTGATGTTTCAGTGCACTTTTAAAATTTAAAACAAGAGTTTCTTGATATGTCGTATATCATCAGATGCTATATTATCTTAATATATTTTATATAATTCTAACATATCTTATTTTCCAAACAAATAACTAAAAGAATTAGCTGCCCCCTTGTATTTGTATAGAATAACATATATTTAGATATTTTAGTCTAGATGACTATATTTGAAATCCATCTTTTCAATTGTTTTTGAATGCAAAAGTTAAGTTTTATATAGAAACATATTAAATACAAACTTTATCGTATTTGTAGAATATATGGTGATAAATATTTATATCGACATGAGATCAAACTTTCTTATAATTTTAGATCATAATAGAAGACAAACGTGCGGCGTACGTTTCCAGAACTAGTTCTACATATAACGGAGAGAGCTGTTTGAGCTCTTGGTTCTCATTAAACTTTACGGTTGTGTCTTATGTTATAGGAATAAGAATTCTCTTTCAGATATTTGGCCATCGACCTATTACTACAGAGTTCTGTTTTCTTCTTTTTCAATTGATTAAATGTTATGAAGATGAAATGCTAGTAAGTCTCTATCTCTAACTACGTACATCCCAGCTCTACATAGGCGTTTTCTAGATACGAAATAATTCATATTTGTGTCAACTCAACTCATATTAGCATAAAATTAAAACTGATGATTTCATTTGCATCATCCACAGGTACATGATCAAAACCAGCATGTTTTGAGGGCTTTGAGAAACCAAAAATGTTTCGAAAACGGTGAAGTTGAAGGAACTACTGACCTACATGACTAGAAGATACATACTGAGTATCCCAACAAAAAGGTAGCAAAAGAAATTCTATGATCATCCAAACATTGTAATGGATCAACAGATACGTTCTTGTGAGTTCAATTGAATCCATTTGGTCTCTCTTTTTATGTTACAAAATATATAAGTATCAGATATTAGTACAAGTTAGTTAAGTTTCATTCTTTTGATTTCCAAACTGATAAAAAGGGAGCAGTTAAATATTTTGTAATCCTTATTTAAAAATAGATCAAAGTTGATTATGTTAACCTTTTGATTTCCAAAATCAGTGAAAAAAGAAATATTTAATGCATATGTATTTCAATGAGATGTGACAAAAGAAGTCAAATTGATTACTTTTATATTGTCCCAATACTTTGGACGCCTAGTTCATATAAACTGGAGTAACAAATATTACAAGGATTAATAATTGTCATTTTGTGAAATGATATATTAAAGTTTTATTTTCTAATATTCCATATTTGTGTACTTCAACCTAAAGTTTTAGAAATTGGCGGTTTGAACAAAGAAGCATTTTAGTATGATCCTAAATAAATACATTATGTTTTGGGAAATTCAATATGATTTTGCTGACCTCATCTTGGAATTTAAAGACAAAAAACTGCATGTAACATAAAAAGTAAGAAAAATATATAAAAAAAAAAGACATGACGATTTGAACTAAGAAAATATAGGCTTTTCTCCATCCTAGAGAAATAAGTATATGCCATGTTTAAGCAAATTCTAGAAACTTTAGGTGGGTTCTAAAGAAAATAAGTGTTTTTTTTACTTGTTTACATTTGGTAAGTATTTAAAAAATTATTATCTTAAAAGTATTTGTATATAATTATTTAGACAAAAACTATTGAAGGTGATGACAGAGGTAGGAGGGTGTACGAGTCATAGGGATGGGGGCTACTGAAGTACGGGTGAAGATGAATTGTGTGTGTTGGACAATGAGAAGGACACAATCAATATTAAATGTCTCACGTGAAATTTGTATTCCCTACTTTCATTAGAAAAGTTATTTTTTTCATTTTTTAGGTACATATTTCTCAAAAAAAAAACTATTTTCAAAATTTTTGACCAACCTAATATGAGGAAATCGAAAAGCACTTTCTCTATACCGAACACACCCTTAATATCTTTAGCGCAACGCCAACCATTATCAGTATCACTATAAAAGAGATATTTAATGACAATAAATTCCTATATTTGTCGCAAAAACATTTAGAAGCAATTGAGTTAATGTCATTACATTCAAAGTCGCATACTGGTAGTGCCGATTAATTATAAATACTCAATTATCTATTATCGCTAATTAATTATCGATAAATCGTTATGGACATTTAATTTATCTTAGATACCATCTTCACTATGTTTTCCTCATTTGTCATCTTTCTTATCCAACATGCATATATATATATATGAAAGTGTCCATATTTTTGAAACGAAACATATTTACTTGTTAACTTTACAAGCTTACAAAAATGGCGTTTCCATCTGTGGATAAATGTCCATCCATAGGCCGCGAAAAGGACACAGTAATCGCGGATATGGATGGAACATTACTTCGAGGACGAAGCTCTTTCCCTTATTTTGCCTTAGTTGCTTTCGAAGTTGGAGGTGTTTTAAGGCTACTTATACTTCTCTTATCTTCACCACTAGCTGGACTTCTTTACTACTTCGTCTCGGAGTCTGCTGGAATTCAACTTCTTATTTTCGTTACTTTTGCTGGGATGAAAGTATCTGATGTAGAATCGGTAGCACGTGCAGTGCTACCGAAATTCTACTCAGAAGATATTCATCCCGAGTCATGGAAAGTGTTCTCTTCTTGTGGTAAACGTTGTGTTTTAACCGCGAATCCTAGGGTTATGGTGGAACCATTTTTGAAGGATTTCTTGGGAACTGATTTGGTTTTAGGAACTGAGATTGAAAGTTATAAAGGTAGAGCTACTGGATTTGTTAAAAAGCCAGGAGTACTTGTTGGTAAAAATAAGGCTGATATTGTTATAAAAGCTTTTGGTGAAAGTAAACCTGAGATTGGTTTAGGTGATCGTCATACTGATTTTCCTTTCTTGGCTTTGTGTAAGGTTAGTTTTATTTTTTCTGTATTTTTACTCATCAACTAAGAATGGAAAGATAATTTTTGAAACTTGTGATCTGGAATAAGTCATGCATCGTAAGTGTGTAGCTTAGTGATCGATGTAACGGATTGGACATTCTGAGGTTTCAGGTTTAATTTTCATGCCACACACAAAATACTACTATGATCGTTCTATCTTTCTATCTCAGTTAATATGATTCACTTTTCTTTTTAGTCAATCCTCTTAATGAAATGATTATAGTCATATCACTTAATTTAGACTACATGAGTTTAAAAAATCTTTTTTTTAAAAAAAAAAATTCTGAATCAAGTCAAACTATACTCTCTCCGTCCTATTTTATATATCATCTCTTTCTATAAATGGCTGGATCATAATACTTGTCATTTTATAAAATTTATATATAAATTACCATATTTTGTCTATTATATCCTTGATGATAAAGTTGACTTAAGAAAACATTAAATAAGGATAGAAAAGGTAAAGTTATATCATTTCTTAGTGCAAGTGTAAAGTAAAAAAGTGACATACGGAGAGAGTATCATATAAAATGTGATGGACACAGAGTAGGTGATCACTTCTTTCTATCTGTTCTAGCTTTAGTAGAGACAGTCAATTGAAATTTGGGAGATGAAAGATACCTCGTAGAACTAATCGAGAGGCATTGAAAACTATTGCTATTAATATTTGTGTGTCTATGACTCAAATCTAATTAAGGCATATGTTAAAAAATGCAGGAAGGTTACATTGTACCACCAAAACCAGAAGTTAAAGCTGTAACAACAAACAAACTTCCCAAGCCCATCATTTTCCATGATGGTCGTTTAGTCCAAAAGCCAACACCTCTCATGTCACTAATCATCTTACTGTGGATCCCGATTGGATTCATTTTGGCGTGCTTACGCATTGCTGCTGGTTCCCTCCTCCCTATGCCTATCGTCTACTACGCCTTTTGGGCGTTAGGCGTTCGTGTCATCATCAAAGGTAACCCTCCACCACCTGTCAATAAATCCAACAACAAATCAGGTGTCCTGTTCATTTGCTCACACAGAACACTCCTTGATCCAATTTTCCTCTCTACTGCCCTTGGACGTCCGATTCCAGCTGTTACATACTCCGTTTCACGTCTCTCTGAGATCATTTCACCTATTAAAACAGTTAGACTCAATCGTGATCGAGTTCTAGATGCAACGATGATAAAGAAACTCCTACAAGAAGGTGACCTAGCAATATGCCCTGAAGGTACAACATGTAGGGAACCGTTTCTACTTAGATTCTCCGCGTTATTTGCTGAGTTAACAGATGAACTTGTACCCGTTGCTATGGTAAATAAGATGAGCATGTTTCATGGTACAACGGCTAGAGGATGGAAAGGGATGGATCCATTTTACTTCTTTATGAACCCAAGCCCCGCTTATGAGGTTACATTTTTGAATAAGTTGCCGTATGAGCTAACTTGTAACGCGGGGAAATCGAGTCATGAAGTAGCTAACTATATACAAAGGGTTATTGCTTCAACTCTTTCTTATGAATGTACTAGTTTTACAAGGAAGGATAAGTATCGTGCACTTGCTGGAAATGATGGAATTGTTGTTGAAAAGCCTAAGATCAAAAAAAGTATAATGGGATGCTAATAATATAATATAAAATAAGTTCCTATATACATGTCTTTGGTTGGGTGGAAGTATAGAATTTCACACCTAACTGTTGTTGTTATTATAGTTCCTTTCATATATACATACTTGAGTATTTTCCTTTAATTACTGCTTTGATCTGCTTTAGTCGAGGGTACAGTATACCATACACTTCTAAGAGGTTTTGGATATAGTATTCTATCTTTCTTAGGTTTAACTTTTTGAAATTTCGCCAAATATGTTGTTTTTATTATGTACTTAGCATTAGAAGATTTCAACTTTTTGAATATTGTTCATGTACACCCCTATAAGAAATAATAATTTTAATGACTTCACTTGTCAATTTGTTGGCTTGTTTTAACTTTTAAGTTGCCCTAGAAGTGAGAGGCTTGTTTGAGTGGTTAGAGAATTTTTTGATGATGTTATTGTGTATGTTAATACTAGAAATTAAAAGGGTAACTTACGTAAATATACTATAATAAAAAAATATTTATTATTTACGGCAATAATATTTTTTTTCACTTGATCACTTTTAATTCATTTATAATACAAGTTTAATGCATATTACAAAGAACAATTTATTATTCACATATAATACAAATTTTAATGATGAATAACATATTTATCACATATTTTAATACACTTGTAATACAATGTGACAATTTTTTACCAAACAAACATAAGATATTTCAAAAACAATTAAAATTCAAATATATTATATACATAATTCACTTTTAATAATATTACAGACTTATCACAATATTACTATAAATGATAATAAACAAAAAGTATCGCTAAAATCAGTAATTATTTTTAAAAATGTATTAATTCATCTAATTTTTCCAAATATTAAATGCGAGACATTTAATAGGCTTAGCGGGGAGAAAGTGGTGTTATAATTCTTTGTCAATCACGTTAGATGTATTTTTTAATCATATTACTATAATAAAACAAATTTATAAAAAAAAACAAATATCTGTTATTCTTGTGAGTTGGAGCGAGTCCATCGTGATATGATACAAATTGAATCACATTCATAATAAGCTTTTCTTTTTTATTTTTCTTCTTCTTTGCTAGTTGATGATTTTATTTATTTTTTTTGGAAGAAAATTGATTAATTAATTAAAAATGGATGGAGGTTCATTCTCTTCAAGCATAGGAGATTCAATTGATTTTGATGAAAAAGATTTATCACTAAGTGATAAACTCAAAGTATTCAAAGCTTCTGCATATGATCCTGATTCATACGTTACCAATCGATGTCGTCAAATGAGCGAAAAGGTTTCATTTCATTTTTCATAAATCTAATTGCATATGTATGTAACTCAAAACTATAGGTTTCGATTGAACCTGAGTCAGAAATTTGACAAAGGGAGTGTAAAATTGATATTAATCAAACCTATGTATACCACATAACATTGATTGTGGATATCTATTGGTGCATTCTTGTAAAATGTGGTTTTGGAGACGGAATTATGGACAAAGATAACGAAATTGTACGGAGGATTGGAAGTGAAGGGTGCTTACCATGAGTAACTCGCTCTAAT